ATCTAGGTAAATACCTAAGCACTTGCTATAATACATATAACTACCCCAAGTTAGCCACTATAATACCGTGTCGATACTACCAGGGCTTATATACGGTATAACCCTAATAAAGTCTTTCTTATAACGGTTATACTTATTATTAGTATTAGCGTTATTACTAGGAGAAGATATCTACGGCTATTAGTACGCTACCGCGGAGGTATTATTACGCTATAGAAAAAGAACATATATTAAACTACTACTATTAATTACTTATATATATATATAGATTAATACTATACTATATAGTTAACCCTACGCTACCACGCTACTATAATACTACCGCGAAACACTTATAGTAAAATTATAATAGGAATGAAATAAGAAAGCTAAAGGAGTTTACTAGTTAGTATAAGCTATAACGATAAACCTATAAGACCGTAAACGGGAATAGATTAGGAGGAAAACCTATAATAAACTTATTAGCGTTATAGGAGGAAAAGGGAGGTATAAGATATAAAGGCCTTAGGGGATATTAAGTATCTAATTCTTATAATAGGGTAAGGCCTTTTCCTTACCTACCGCCGGATATAGCAGGAACCTACCTAAGGGAGGTAGGAGGCGCTTACCTCCTTACTCTCTTTATTAACCGAATAGAAGAAATAAAAAGTATAATCCTTAAGGGACGTAGGGAGACTAAGGCTAAAAAGCCATAGCCGCCGTATAACGGAAGCGCGGTAACGCCCCCTTAGCCCCCCGCTCTACTAATAAAGATTAGCTTAGGCTAACTTACTTAACTACTAGCCTACTATACTTCTTATTAGCCACTAGCCTAGAGGTCAGATCTAGATATATAATAGGGAAGAACCGGGGCTATATCGGTCCCGTAGCGGTACCTCTCCACCTAAGGAAGTATATAGAGGTTTTCCCTGGGTTTTACCCGGGTTTTCCCCTCTATAGCCACCCGAGAAGGACCGTATATCCTAGGAAAGCTCCTATAGATTAGTCAGGAGAGCGGAGTAAGATCGGTAATAATAATAATAATGAAGGACGTAGAGGATGAATTTAAGGGCGGCTATAGCGAATAGATTATATAGCTGGATTATCAGCTAATTACGAATAGCTTTAATCGCCCAATTAACGTTTAGGGCGATTAGGTGGTATATCGAATAGACTATAGTCTTTTCGGTTATATAATAGGCCGGAATACTAAGAGTATAATCCGGGTAAACGATTATAGAATGTATACTATATAAAATACGGTGGTAGCGTTTCCCTAACGGTCTAACATAGTTATAATTATACATAATTGCCTTAATTAATTTTGACCTATTTTATAACGATTTTAACTACGCTTTATCTGATACTAGATACTTCCACACAATCTACTAACGATATCGTTAATTAAACGGTCGGAAGATATCGTTAATTAAACGAATAAGCGACGATATTGTTAATTGAACGAGCGACGATATCGTTTTTTGAACGAGCTACGATATCGTCAATTAAATGTATAGGTAAGGTAGGCACGTAGATTATATAGAAGTATCTAGGTATAATAGGAAGTGGCGGCGCCTGGTATTAGGTGCTGTTAGTAGTGCCCTAGTCGGAATAACTAAGTGCCCTAGTCGGACTAACCCTATCCTTTTATTAAAGCCGTTAATAGTATTATAATACTTACAAAGTCGCGGATAAATATCTAGTAATAGTTCGCGAAACCTAGGAAACTTTATACGCCCTTAGCGGATACCGGGGCGTCCTATTCTCTAATAGCCTTAAGCTTCTCGGGGTTATAAGAAACGCTTTTCCGTGCTATAATAGTAAACCCTAGGTATTTTACAGTTTTTATACTAAATTCGTACTTAGCCGGGTCTAGGTTAAGGCTAGCTCCAGCGAGCGCTTATAAGATTAGCCGAACCTTAGCTTTATAGTTATAGCGAGATCCGCTTAAGTGGAGAAGTATATCGTTTATATACACAGTTATAAAGTTATCGAGGTAGGCTTATAGGGTCTTATTAATATATTACTAGAATGTTATAGGCGCTTACTTAGACTAAACGGGTATACTAGTTACTCGAAAAGACCGAACCGTGTATAAAACGCTATCTTATACTCGTGCCCCTTAGCTATCTGTACCTTATAGAATATAGAGACTATATTTAGCTTTATAAACTACTTCGTGTATACTAGGCTACGGAGTATCTCGGTGATTAATAGGAGGGGGTAATGATCTCGCTATATAATCGCGTTTAGAGCTTTATAATTATAGTAAAACCTTAGGCCGCCGCTAGGTTTATATATAAATAGTATTACGGCTACGGTTACTAAGCTACTAGCTCGGATAAAGCCTTTATCTATCAGGTCCGTAAGGGTCTTTTATAGGACTAATAGTTCCTTTTTTAATATGTTATAAAGGGGACCCCACGGTAAAGGGGGCTTATCCCCGTTAGTATCTTATATAAGGTTTACCTCGTAGATAGAGCTAGGTCGGTATAGGGGTAACTTATTCGTCTTATCAGGCGAAAATAACGATTTAAACTCCTAGAGTACCTTCTTCAGTATATAGTCTTTAGGGTCTACAGGCGCTTTTTTCTATAACGCCCTTTTAATATCTTTAAGACTAACCGCCTATATCGCCGCTTCCTAATTAGGGTCCTTTTTATTTTAATAGAGTTAGTGGTATATACCGGTAAATATCGATCCGGTAATTATATATCCCTCGCGGATACCTTAGATATTTATCGGTTCCTTTTCGCCCTAAAGTCGTAGGTCGCCTTCTACGACTTAGTGGAATAACCTCTCATTCTTCGCGTAGTATATTACGTTATTATATTTAAGCCACGGTTTACCTAGGAATAAGTCCTAGTCGACACCGGGTATTATGTATACGAAGATACGCTAGGTATACCCTTTAACGTCTAGGTCGTATATAGCGATCCTTTTATAAGTGGCTAAGCTAGTAGCTTTAAAGAACTTACTAAGTAGTTATTTTTTCGTTACCATTAATAGTAACCGGAGCTTTTTAGCTAAATATATACTTATAGCCGTATAATAATTATAACCCGTGTTAATAAGAGCGTATATTAGTTTTTCTTTATTTACTTAAGCCGAAATAAGGGCTAATTCGCTATATATTAGTGGCTTAAAAGCCTTTTACTCCTATTATACTATGGCTAACGCCTTTAATACCTGATTTTATACTAAGGCTACTCTTTTTCCGAGTCGGAACTAGGTTCCTTAATTCTTATATCCGAATCGCTATAAGCTTCCGATCCCTTTATAGCCTTAGCCATATAAGAGCCCTTATCTTTCTTAGGTTATTTATAGAACCTAGTAATATAACCCTTCTTCCTATAGTTCTAGTAGTCGCGGATATCGTGCGGCGTATTTACTTTTAACCCGAGCTAGTTAACCCCTCTTATCTTAACGTCCCTGTCCGTATCTTATCAGTTATTATTTTAGAGTATAGTTATAGGTAGATACCGTTCTACTTATCGGGTATTAGTAATACCCTTAAGGCGACCGGTTATATTCTAGACCCGGATACTTTATTCCGGGTAAGTGTATAGGAGGTTAACCGCTATAAGCGTATCCTATAGGTTTTAGCTTAAGGTCGTTCTAAAAACGTGATCTTTACTATGTTAGGCTAGGTTGACCTGTTTATATTAGCTAGCTACCTCTTAAAGTTAGGCAGGAACGACGTAAAGGTTTAGTCCTTATATTATCGTAGCGAGCGTAGGGCGAGTACGGCGCGAGGGTACTTATTCTAATCCTTATAGGTACGATCTAGGAAGTCTAATATCTTTTAGGGGTTTTATAGCCCCCCGGACCCTCCTAAGTTATATAACTTCATAACTACCTATTACGGCCTTAGGCCTAGGCTTATATAGATTAGAAACTATATTTCCTAGTAGCTATAAAATAGCGGCTTATCGATTTCGAGCTTATCGTATATAGCCCGCGATTACCCTGCGTATTCGGCTCTTTTTCGAGAGAAGATTAAAGGGTTATTTACCCGTTTCCGCTAGCTTAATAGCAGAGTATTCGGGTTAACCGGGGTCTATATAATACGCAAAGGTTCTAATAGGAGAGTTAGAGCTAGCCTATAAGTTATTATTAGTGCTAGGATTATAACAGTAAGGGAGTAGCGGTAATACTAAAGGGCGTTATCTATAGTGCGGTTATTGGTATAAGGGGTCCTTATAAAGGAGGGGCGAGGTATTAGGGGTATTAGCTCTCTTATAAAGACTGTATCTAGGTAAGTATCTAGCTAAATACCTTTTAGGTCTTTACGAGACCGTACTAAGTTTATCGATAATTCTATGCTTATTACTCTAGCACTTATTACTAAGCCTATTTTTACTAATTAAGCTATTCTTTATAGGTTTAATATACTAAGTTCTATTATATTAGGCAGTCTTAGAGACGCCGTATAGTATCGCTAACTTATCTAATATATCTCTTAATTTCTATTCGTTTATTCCGCCTATTATTAGGCGGTAGCCTAAAAGTCGCTACTCCTAGGCGGCGCGCTAGAATCGTGGTCTATACTTATATAGCATTAGGGTAACGCTAAGTTCTAGATATATAAACGGCTAGTCACGAGTCTTAGCTAATAAGTAAGGTCGAATAATTATATTATCTAGAACTAAGGAAAGGAGAAGGAAAAGGTAAAAAGTCTATCTCGCTAGGAGTAGCTATAGGTTAACTACCTAATCGATAAGAGGTCTTTACGGTATCCCGGCTTAGTAAGGCCGGGACCCTGGCTAATAGGGTTAGCCTATACTATAAATATAACAAATACCTCTTCGAATAATATAAATAAGGAATAATAGCCGTGGCTATATAGCTTATAGGGTTTATCGCCCCCTAACAAAAAACACCATCTTTTATAGTATTAGATACCTATAGCTACCTTATTAAGGCATAATAAAGTATATTATATTAGAGTATTATATTAGACGTGTAAGGCACCTCGATCCTATATATCTATAGTCACTTCTAATAGTACGAGAGAGAATGCTAAGAGCGTTGTATTAATGCAGGTTTATATAGGATATGACGTCGGGGGATTGGTTGTATAAGGCTGGTCTATTTAAGGATCATACAACCCCTAGATACTTTTTGATTTCGGGCACCAAATCTGCTTTGGCTAGTAGCCGTCCCTCCTTTTCTACGCCATCTTTATCAGCCTGGCCCAAAACTTTGAGTCGAGCTTGCCCAGCGGCCAGCTCGCCTTCGCCCAGGATTACCGCAAGAGGGACTCCAGCGGATTCAGCAGCCTTGAACTGCTGCGGAAGTTTTGGCTTCACCTTGGGCGAGAACTCAGTCCTGATCCCAGCTTTCCACAGCTCTCGCGCTAGGGCCATTCGTTCAAGGAGTAGGCCATCGAACGTTTTGCCACCGAAGGCCATAATGTATACATCCGTCTTACGTGCCGAGGCCTCTTTCTCCTTCTCCGCTCCATGACGGGCCTTCAGGACAGTGAAAATACGATCCACGCCAAAAGACACGCCGACGCACGGAATTTGACGCTTGCCGAACATGCCGACCAAATCGTCGTAACGACCGCCTGCTGCAATGCTGCCAACACGGGAGAGCTCGTCCTTCGAGGCGCCTTTGGGTGCATTGAAAACAACCTCGAAAATCAATCCGGTGTAGTAGTCGAGGCCACGAGCGAGCGAAAGATCGAAGGACACTTTATCAGCCACCTCAAAGGCGCCCAAATAGCGAAAGAGGAGGTCCATGTCATCCAGGCCAGCCTTGATTTTGTCATTGGTTGCGATGGCCGCGTCTGACCGGAGTGATTTGAGGAGCTCGGGACCCCCACTATGTTTGACGTATTCTCCAATCTTATCCGCAACCTCCGAAGAGAGGCCCTTCTCCTCCATCTCCTTCTTGACTTCATCCCAGGGCGACTTGTCTAATTTATCGACGGCTGAACTAATAGGGCGTATGAGGTGGTCGGCTACACCGGCGACCGCGAACAAACCGTCCAGGATTTTGCGGTGGTTGATTTTTACCGTGATATCCTTTCCGAGGCCCAGGCCCTCGAATACCTCTATAATCAGGCAGATGATTTCGGAGTCAGGGATCATTGGATCGTATTCGCCGGCGATGTCAAAGTCGCATTGGAAGAACTCGCGCAGGCGGCCGCGAGCCATTGACTTTGGAACAAATGTGGTCAGTCAGGTCCATGTACAGTCAGGTCGCCGTTTCCTTACGGGCTGGTCTCGCCGGTAGACTTTTGCAATGTGGTATCGCTTGATTTGTTGTACCGTGTTCATGGCCAACCAACGGGCCAAAGGAACCGTCAAATCGTACCTCAGGGAGCAGAGCTCTCCCCCTTGGTCCTCCAGCTGGTAGATGAGACGCGAGTCCTCTCCATACTTGTTTGAGAGAATCTCATTTAGTTCGAAAACGGGCGTGTCAAGAGGCGTACCACCATGGCGTTTGAAAATGTCGCCAATGGTTTGAAAGATATCCTCACGAAGGATGATATCCAGTCCTGCCCAGTCCCGGGTTCCTTTGGGCGTCTTGAGTTGAACCCCGCTTCGCTTGCTGTCCTGGGCGGACATGTTGAAAACGAGCTCCTGGGCGATACGACCGCTAGAGATGGTTCGGTTAGGCCTACACTGCAAGCCTAGCATGGATCGCCTTGGTGGTCGCGTTGCTCGGGAACAAGCTGAGCAAAGCAACCTGCGAGATGAAGCGAAGAAAGTTTGGTGCATGGAGTTCTCAAGTGTGGGCAGTGTAAAGTTGGTCGTGACTCATTCCGACTTGAGTACCGACACCATAAGGAGCCACCATGTATCTAGCTGGTACCTTTGTAAGAAGAAACCCTCTTTCATACCTAGATACAGATAATAAAGTACCTATCTACGGTACCTGTCAGATGCCACCACACAGTGTCAGATAAAGCGTAGTCAAAAACGTCACAAAATAGGTTAAAATTCATTGAGGCAATTATGTATCATTATAACTGTGTCGGACCGTCTGGGAACCGCTACCACCGTATTTTATATAGTGCAGATTCTTTAAGCGTCCACCCGGATTATACTCTTAGCAATCCGGCCCGTTATATAATCGAAAAGACTATGGTCTATTCGACACACCCCCTAATCGCCCTATTATTAGTTAGGCGATTAAAGCTATTTATAACCGGCAGACCGAATATCTATTTAATCTCTTCGCTATAGCCGCCCTTAGGTTTATCCTCTAGGTCCTCTAAATATTCTATCCAGACTTTCTTTAGCTATTTTTACTATAACCGTTCCCGTATATCTATCACGTCCACCTAGGACCTGAATATCTTAAATTTCTCGCCGTATAACGCCTTCGTTAATCCGTCTGCTACTATTTCCGCGCTTATAACGTACGTTACGACTATTTACCCTTATTCCTTTACTTAAGGCACCTAGTGGCCGTGGAAATCGATATAGCGGAGGCGCGTTATTAACGTGCTAATCTCTTAATTAACTAATCGAATCGTCTAATTATTATCGTATAAGATCCTTAATTCCAGATCGTTAAATTCCACTCCTATACTAAGTAATAGGCGTTATATAAAGATATCCCCTTTTACACCTTATACTAATACTAGTAGCTCTGCTTCCGTTATTAACGTTATAACTATATCCTGCTTATTAGCGCGCCACGCGATTATACCGCTAAATAAGCGTATTATACACCCTTAACTACTCTTACGATTAAGGGTATTATCGGTAAATAAGGCGTTAGTGTAGATTTCGATAGTATTGCTACCCCCTAGTTTTAACTTAAATGATTAGCTATTAATTAGATAGAGGATTAGATAGTCGGCGGCCTTATAGTGTGTAGGCCCTGGATTAGCATTAAAACGGTATAGCCTTAATTCTATAAAAGTGATATCCAGCCGCGATATTTCTACTACATATAGCACGGATCCTATCTTCTATTAATAGCTTTTAATATTAGTCGAGGTCCTTAAATAGGGTAATAGCTCTATAACCTTAATTAGGTGCATTAGGCGATAGTTACTACTATACTTACTATTCGGCCTTAATAGGCATTCTAATTTAGTAAAATAGTCGCGTTATAATAGCTAGATTTTACGGGCGATACGGTCGCGAATAACCTTAATACTAAGGAACCACTATAAAGGATCACTACCTTATAGGTTATAGTAGCGTTATAGATTATTAATAGCCTGCTCTATCTACGGCTTATATTATTCCTTATAAGTAATAATAATATCGTTAACGTAGAAGAATTTTAGATTAAACCGCGGTGTAGACAATAACACGGTTCCTATAGCATTATCTAGAAGCCGTCCGCTAAAAGGATAACCGAAAAGTGCTTTTACTAAAGCAGTGGAGACTTCTTAAGTCTATATAACGCTTTTTTTAGGTATAAACGACTCCTAGGGGCTAGAAAGCCTGGCGGCGGGTATATAAAGATATCGTGGGGAAGAGGTGCGTGTATAAACGCGTTTACAACGTCGAATTATAATAGCGTAAGGTTAAAACGGGCGGCGATAGCTATTAACGCGCGGAATAACCGTCCGGCTAATATTACTACGTATATCTCCTTAAGCGAGGATTAATACTACTAATCTTCTCGCACTATAAGCCTTACCTTATATTTATATAGAAACCTATACTTATCGATCTTATATATTATTACCTATATCGAATTAAGAACCTAATATCTATCTGCTACGGACGCTAGCATCCGTATCTATAACCTTATCTCCTAATAGCTCCGCAGGTAGTCTTCTTATGCCTATTAGAATAGGTAGCCGTAAAGGTATAAGGGTATATCGCGAGGATTCTTTAGAGGAGGAGGGAGGTCCTTATAGTGGATCTTTACGGCCGCTAGGGTAACCGCCGGAGCACTCGCTAAAGTAACTACTAGGGTTATATTTCCCGAGATAGCCTCCCGAGTTATACTTCCGGTGGCTACCACCGGGGCTATAGATTTATAGGGTATCGTTAAATATTATTATAGCACTATAGGCGTAGACCTTTTTAACCGTAATTTAGTTAGCGGAGTCTTATTTAATATATATATATATATCCGGGGCGTAATAGCTAGCGTTAAATACTATAACCTAATAGTCTCTTTTCTAGCTATCTCCTTACATAATTAGTCGCGCTCCACTATGTATAGGGAGCCCTATAGCCGTAACTATAGGGGTATCGTAGTAATATATTCCTCTATCTATAAGGAAACCTACGGCCGTAACCGTAAAGGATTCACGATTTCCTAATATTATAGCTGCTATTAGCGCTATAACTAATAGTAGGGTTACTAGTAGAGTAGGAAGTAATGGATTAGGCGGATATAAACGGTGATTAGGCGTTATACCGGCTAAATGACACTATTTATAACTTAAATCTTATCCTAATTAACTTAAGATAGCCTCCTTTACCCCCTTACGGCCGGGTATTACGGACTATAACCTTAACGGTAAAGCCGTCGAGGAAGGGGATCCGGGGGGAAGCTCCCCTAGGAAAGGGTTAAGTTTAAAATAAGTAGTTATATAAGGGGAGGGGTCCATAGCTTATATATCCGTAAATAGCCGTGAATCTCTAGCCCTCTCCTACTCGATCTAACTAATTAGGTCTTCTAGTTATTCCTCGGTTAATTAACGGAGGTCGTCCTTAAAGGCGTTACTATCGCCGTTAAAAAAGGCACGTTCGTTAAAATCTATATCGCACGTACGAATAAAGCGGTGGTAGCGCCGGCCTAGCACCTAGAGACGGAAGATATTAGTTGAATCGTAGCTGACGAGGTAGCCGATATAGGCGCGGGGAGCGATACTATTTAATAGCTTATTACTGCCCTTTTAGGTGTCCTTGGTTATCGCGTACGCCTTATAACCGTAGGCTCGAAGATATAATAAAATCGGCTTCCTTTTAAAGAGGACCTCGTATAGTGTTTTCTACTCCTTAGTATACTACTTTTATAGTATACGGTTATAGATATACGTAGTCGTAGAAATAGCCTTAGACTATATAAACGGCGGTAGTTTTGCGTGGATATTCATTGCACGACCTTTCGAAATCACTACTATAGTAGCGCGTTCGGCACCCCCGTTCTACGCTTAAGTATCGGCAGCAGAGGCCTCTAAAAGGATACCCTCTTCACGTAGAAATTGGGTGATATCGTGGGATTAGATTAGCTCGGTATTAGATTCGAAAACGCGTACCTTATAGCCTAATTAACGGTTTACCTAGGCGAGTAATTCCTTAATTATTACGAGGATATCTACTGCTAGCTTACTCTTTATAACGTAGGTGGCCGTAAACCCACTATAACGGTGTATAAAAAATATAAACCGCGAGTCCCTATCGGATATTCGGTTAAAACCCGTGAAATTAATCGCCTACCGCTCCCCTACGGAAGCAGGTACGGTATAAGGGTGCCTACTAATATATCGTTTAATCTTTATAAGCTCGTAGGCCATATAGTCGATAGTTATTAGTTACTTTATTTTAACCCCCTGCGTCTGCTCTTCTAGGTGCCTAAGCGGTTTACGGCTAGTATGCCCTAGTCGTAGATACTATAAGATACCCTCCGTAGTGCTTAGATAGCGTATTACCGATTTATGAACGGCTTTTCGGGTGGAAGAAAAGCCTAGAAAAGCATCCGTAGATTGGTAAGGGGGTATGTATTTAATAACGGTTTGATCGAAATGGTGATTTAGCTAGTATAGTATAGATTTATCGGTATATCGAAGGTAGTTTTTTAGTGGCTTCTAATCCTACTAGTATCCTCGTAGTCGTAACCGTTAGTTTAAGGTTAAATTACCGGTAAAATCTTTATAGTATACGACGTTTAATAGTCTAAAATCAAGGCCTCCTATTAGTCCGTTTACTCTCACGGTTATATTACCGTAACCTTTAATAGGCAGCGACGAGCTGCCTACGACTATATAGTCTCCCTACGTGGCGGGTATACAATCAGAAAAACGGGGAAAATCGTTAAAAATATAAATAGTAGCGCCGGAATTAAGGATAGTAGAGGCTCGAAGAGGGTAACTAGTAGCAGCGGTTCCTGCTATAAGGCTGGCGGTATAGGAGACGCCGCTACGGACACTGCTATAGTCGAGTCACGCCTCTTTAAGCTATGCAAAGTCCCTGCCTATATCCTTCTTTACCTTCTTTACGGCGCGTAGTTCTTCTACTTCCGCGCGTATAGCAGAGTCGTATTTAAGGATCCGGTCAACGGTTATTTTAGTGTTTTCGTAGGGTATCCAGCTATTAAATGCTATCTCTGGAAAGATATAGTAATAGGCGTTAATATCGTGATACGGCGTAGCGTATACTCGATAGGGTTCCCCTTATCGGAGGGTAGATTAATATCTTTTAGAAGAAGAACGGTTAGCTATTAAAGTAATAGAAGGTATGGCTATAGATACTGCGGTAGTAGGATTCTTAGCTTTATTCTTCCCACGGCCGCCCATCTTACGGGGCTTAGCCGTGGCCTCTAAGGTATCCTTACCCTCCGTGCTTCCGGTATATAGTATAGGAAATACTATAGCGTGGTGGCTACCACGTTTTCCTTAGTCTTTACGTCTAGTATTAATATATTTCTAACTAAGGGTATAAAGGTCTTCGGGTATAACTACCTAGTTATCTATAAGGTCTCCCTCGGCCTTAGTCTAATCGCGGCCAGTATAGGGGCGTATACCTTTAAAGAAATCTATAACCTATATATACGTGGCGGGCTTCGAACCGGTATCTTTATAGCTTTATAGTAGTAGCTACCACTTATCTAACCACTCCCCGAGCTTCTTAAGGCTATTCGTAGGGTAACGAGTATACTCGATATACTCTTTATGGGTATTAGTGTAGCGGGTAGCCAGTTACTAATCCGTATCGCGTTTAACGGCTTTATA